CCTCCCTGGGTCTGCCGGGGAGGGAATAAGGAACATCCCAGGGGCGGGCATGGGCGGGTAGAGGGGGGAAGCACACAAGTTGGAGAAAGTTCTCTTGCATGGCAGGGGCAGGAGAGGGGGTGCGGGTTCGGGTGGGCCAAGTTGCTTGCTGAGAGGAAGGTGACGTGAGAAACCTTCATGCTGGGCCGTCACCCCCCTCCCAACTCGTGCTCTGCACACCTGCTGCTCGGCTCCACGCACATACCCCATGGGAGCTGAGGGTGACTGCAGTGAGGTGGCGGGAGCCGAGGAGATAGATGCCATGACTGCAGACCTGCTGCAGAGAGACTCTTTGGATCAAGAGCTTGGAATACTGTCACTACTTAGTAATGCCAGCCATAGAGCGAGGGCGGAGGGGGCTGCCCTGCAGGGTGTTGCTGCAGCTCCCAGGCTGTGGGTGTGTGTGCTTTCACAGGTGCTCCGTGGGAGCCCTGCCGCCTGCTATTCCCCAGAATCATGAGTACTCATGTTTGGGTCCTTAAGAAGTATGCCACTTTTACATAGACACACCCTCACTTTCTGCCACCCCCTACACTCAGCACACCTAGAACCACACTCTCTCAGCCCCCCAAAACATTCCCACCCCTTCCCTTATGATGCTGCCCCTTTCTGTCTGCAAGACCCCACGGAACTGAGATCTCAGTGGCTCCCCCATGCCGACACCTCATCATGGAGTGGGGGCTGTCTTGGAGGTCGAGAGATGGTGTTACAGGCCCCCTCATAATTCATATTGTTGACCCTCTAACCCCCATTCCCCAGATTGTGACTATATTTGGACACAGGGCCTTTAAAGAGGTAATTAAGTTAAAATGTGGTCATGGAGATGGGCCCTCATCCAATCTGACTGATGTCCTTATAAGAAGAGGGAATTCACATACCCAAAGAGACACGAGGGGTACGTGTACGCAGAGGAAAGACCGTGTGAGGACACGGCGAGAAGGGGGCCATCTGCAAGCCAAGAGAGGCCTCAGGAGAAACCAGCCCTGTCAACACCTTGATCTTGGACCTCTAGCCTCCAGAATTGTGAGAAAATACATTTCTGTTGTTTAAGGGACCCATCTTTGGCGCTTTGTGAGGGCAGCCCTAGCAAACTAGTACAGAGGACGAGATGCAGGAGACGCTGGCCTGGGGTGCCATTTGCCCTGCAGGCCCCTTCCCTCTCTTGCTCGAACATGCATAACATGTGCTTAAAATGCACCAAAGAGTGGAGCCCGAGCTGCTTCCCTTCCTGGTGGGGCCAGAGACCGGATGACCCCAGGAAGGGAACTCGCATACTAGTCTTTACCCGTGGCTCTTTCTCCAAGGCCCAGGGCTGCCCACCACCAGGCTCTGGTCATGGGGGTGCTCACAGCCCTGTGATGCCCAACTTCCATCCCTTCCTTCCATTCTTAAGCCTCTTCCCCTTTCGCCATTGATTAGAAAAAGCGTCCTGCCTTGGTGACACTGGGGGGCTCTCAGTCCTTGCAGAAGCCAGAATCCTGACAAGCAGCAACCTGGAATCTGGGAACCATCCAGTCAGTAATATTTCTGAACAAAGAACTATAGAAAGGTGGCATGAATGAAGAGCTGTTCAAGGTCTGGATGTCTGGTGTGCACAGCGTGACTTCTTCCCTGCCTAAGGCCTTGGCATGGGGCACACAGCCCTTTCAGGGCAAGGCCTGTGGGCTCAGGATCCCCCGTGGCTGATGGCCACACTACTCCTGGGCTCTTGTAGGTGGATGGCTTAGACCGTCAGTGGATGGACTCTGGGGAGCAGAGGTAACCCCGGGATGGGGACAGAGGAGGGAGCACTGCAGCAAAGGATGAAAACAGCATAAACAGAGTCCTGGACTTTTCAGCTCGCAAGGGCTTTGTGGGGGAGGGGGGAATCAAGGGCCTGCTAACATTCCTGAGAACTGCCTCTGCTGGCTGCCAAGGGCTGATGGATAGACTCTCGAATCTTTTCATTTTAGCTCCTCCATGCTGGGGTGGGAGGAAGGGGAAGTAGAGGGTGGTATCTCCACTGTACAGAGGAGAAAATGGGGTTCAGAGAGGTTCAGTTCTTGCTCACAAATACATGGTTTAAAAATGGCAGAGCTGTAACCCAGGGCTTCCAGACTTTCCATCTAGGCCTTTCCTTCTAGAACAGGGGCTGGCAAACTACAGCCCATGGGCCAAATCTGGCCCACTGCCCATGTTCATGTGGCCTGTGAGCTAAGAAAGGCTCACATTTTTAAATGATTGGGGAAAAAAAATAAAAAGCAAAATCATATTTCATGACAAGTGAAATTACATGACATTCACGTTTCTGTGTTCATAACAGAGCTTTATTGGCACAGAGCCTCACCCACTGGTTTACCTTTGGCCCATGGGCTTTCATACTACAACGGCAGAGTTGAGCCATCATGACAGAGATTGTAGAATCCTCAATACCTAAATATATATTTTCTGGTCTTTCACAGAAAGCATTTCCCAATGTCTGCTGTAGGGTCACATGAATTGAGAGGTGTAAGAGATTTCAGGCACCATCCAGTCTGAAAATTTCAATTCCCTCCCATCTATCCACCTATTTCCCCAAAAAGCAGTCAAACCCATTGCATTTAAACAGCCCCATTCCAAGGCTGCCCTCGGGTCCCCACCCAACCCCCATCAGCCTCTACCCCAACCTGCACCGCTCTCAGGAAGCCAGGCTCACGACAGCCTGCCCCAGGGCTGGGATGAAAGACTTTGTACCTCTTGTCTTTATTCTGTTGTGGTCCATTCCTGAGGCTCTTATGAGGCTCCTGTGGCATCAGGCTAGCCATGTCCTCAGGCTTGGAAGGCTGCAGCCTGCAGGAGCCACCAACACCAGGGCTCAGAGGTGACCCCTACCTGGTTGATTGAAGTGGGACCCGTGGGGAAACTCGAGGGTGTGGCCTGAGGTTACACTGTTTTGGTGAAAGCAGGTTCACGTCCTGGCCTCTGTGTAACTGCTGACTTGAGTGAATCACTTCAACATTCTGTGCCTCAGTTTCCTCACTTGGAAAATGAAGAAAATAATAGCATCTACCCCATGGGATTGTGTGAGCATGAAATGGGTCAATGCACGTAAAGTGCTTGGAGTGGCACCTGGCGCACAGCGTGTACTGTATGAGTGACAATGACCATGATGGTGATGGTGATGGTGATGACCATTATTTTTATTTTTTTATTTTTTGAGAAGGAGTCTCACTCTGACACCTGGCTGGAGTGCAGGGTGCAACCTCGGCTCACTGCAACCTCTGCCTCCCGGTTCAAGTGATTCTTTAACTCAGCCTCCCAAGTAGTGGGACACAAGCATGCACCACCATACCCACTAATTTTTTTTATTTTGAGTTGAGCCAGGGTTTTACCATTTTCGCCAGGATGGTCTCTATCTCTCGACCTCATGATCTGCCCGCCTTGGCCTCCCAAAGTGCTGGGATTACAGGCGTGAACCACTGCACCCAACTTGATGATTACTATTATTAAAAGTCCTATTCTAGCTAGCTTCCATGCCTACTGAGTAGAAGCAAAGATTTCTTTTTTCTTTTTTTTTTTTTTTAAGACAGGGTCTCGCTCCGTCACCAGGCGCCATGTTGGAGTGCAGTGGCATGATCTCAGCTCACTGCAACCTCCACCTCCCGGGATCAAGCAATTTTCCTGCCTCAGCCTTCTGAGTAGCTGGGACTACAGGTGCACGCCACCAGGCCAGGCTAATTTTTGTATTTTTAGTAGAGATGGGTTTTCACCGTGTTGGCCAGGATGGTCTCCATCTCTTGACCTCATGATCTGCCTACCTCAGCCTCCTAAAGTGCTAGGATTACAGGCATGAGCCACCGCACCCAGCCAGAAGCAAAGATTTCTACTGGACCTCCCCACACAGAGATCCCAAGGGCCTTCATGTGACCATCAGCTGCCAAAAAAAAAATGTATAAAGCCATGAGTGTTAGCCTGAGATTTTGTGCCAAATTTCCCCTGGAATCTGTGTCTGGGCTGAGGGCCGGGGGGGCGGGATCAGAAGGTCAAGGCCACAGGCTAAGTGCTCTCTGCCTGGGGAAAGAGGTTCTATGAAAAATAAGGGCAAGATGGCAGTGAAAATGAGTGAACTGTCAACACGCTTGAATCCCATAAATACAGCAGGGAGCTAAGAAAGCAAGTTGCAAAAGAAGGTAAGCCATGCGGTGGCAGTTTATACAGCAACGTGAAACATGCCAGACAATTATGCATACTGTTTAGGATACATTCCTATATGGTAAAGGTCTAAATAAATATTCGGGAATGGGCTGGGTGCAGTGGCTCATGCCTATAATCCCAGCACTTTGGGAGGCTGAGGCAGGTGGATCACTTGAGGTCAGAAGTTTGAGACCAGTTTGGCCAACACAGTGAAACCCCATCTCTACTAAAATACAACAATTAGCCAGGCGTGGTGGCAGGTGCCTGTACTTCCAGCTACTCAGAAGGCTAAGGCAGGAGAATCACTTGAACCCAGGAGGTGGAGATTGCAGTGAGCCGACATCATGCCACTGCACTCTAGCCTGGGAGACAGAGCAAGACTCCATCTCAAAAAAGGAAAAAGAAAAGAAAAGAAATATACAGGGATGATGAACACTGAATTTGGGGTAGTGGTTCCCCTGGGTGGAGGGGAGGGGACTGACCTGGAGAGGCGCATACAAGGTCCTTTACCTGAATGTGGGGGGAGAAATGTATGCTAAACAGTGAATGTGAGAGTCCTTCATGCTATTCTAGACACGTTGTTATAGATCTTAAGTATTTTATAATATAAATATTTTTTGATATAGGGCAGGTTAATTTTGCAAACCTAATAGATTTTGGAGGGAGGGAGTCTCAAAATTGTATAAGAAGCTCCAAAGATGGGCCAGCAGAGATGACCGCATCCTGGTGGACAGTGTGCCTTGTGGTGTGCAGGCGCTGCCTAACGCTCCAGCCCTTCATGCATGCCCGCCCTGCCCGCACCCGCTCACCTGCTCCTCTCCTGCCCTCCTCCCCCGTGGCTAGCAGTCCTTCCCCATCTGCTTGCTGTGCTGTTCCTTGCTCTGTAATATGTCCTCCCCGGGCTGTGGCATGGGCAGAGGCTCTGGTCCCCCCTCCCTGGTGAGGCAGAGAGGCTTAGGAACATGTGTTTCTGGGAGGCAGACACCAGCTGGTTGGGGAGATATTTGCATATTCCACTGAGCCCCCCAGAGCCAAGCCAGGGTTGGGAGGGGGAGGCTGTGGCAGGACAGAGGGAGAGGGAAGGCTCTGGTCAGCTAGGGCTCAGATGGAACAGATTTCAGATTGGAGAGACAGATGGTTAAAGCAGAGGAGAGGGACGGGAGTGAATCGTGACTCCTACATGAAGGAAGTCATTCGAGAGCCCTGAAATATCTTGTGTCTTTGTAGGGATTTGCAACTATCAAAGCATTTTCTTAGCATTCACTTGATTCCTCATTGTAGTCCAGTGAAGTAGGTGTGATCGTTGGACCCATTTTACAGATGAGGAAGCTGAGACTCAGACTGCAGAGCTAGTGCATGGGGTAGTCTCTGGACTCCTAGTCGAGAAGTGTTCCTTTCACTCTGTCTCAGAGCCAGCTGCAATTGCTGTCTCCATGTGCTTCTCCTACATTCTTCTGTCAGCCTATTCCAGTAGTGTTTCTGACCCTGCCATTCCACGGAAACTGTTCTCCTCTAGGTCACTAGTGACCCCCTTGGTGCCAAGTCCAATGGCCACTTCCGTTTCCACCTTATTTTGCCTCTCTGTAGCATTTGTTGTTATTGTTGTTTGAGACACGGTCTTACTGCGTCATGCAGGCTGGAGTGCAGTGGTGCAATCTCTGTTCACTGCAGCCCTGAACTCCTGGGCTCAAGGGATTCTCCCACCTCAGCCCCCCAGATAGCTGGGACCACAGGCATGTGCTGCCACACCCAGCTAATTCTCTGCAGCATTGACACGGGTGACCACTGACCTTCTCTTCTTCCGGAAATGGCCGCCTCCTTGGTTTCCATGACAACCCCCGCAGTGGTTTCCCCCCCACTCCTTGGCTGCTCCTTCGCAGGCTCTGCTCCCTGTCTGAATGCTGGGATGCTTAGGGTTCAGACTGCAGCTCTCTCCTCTCCCGCCTCTCTCTGTGCATCAACCTGAACCACCTGGTCCAGTCCTGGCACTTCCAGTACCATCTATTCTGAAGGCTCCCAAATCTACTTCTGCAGGGCTGCTCTTGTCTTGGGCTGCCCTACACTGTGGTCAAGAGCACAGCTTCTGAATCCCAGCTCTGCCATTTATCAGTTATGTGGCCTTGGACAACCTTGCTCTGTCTCATTCTTGCCATCTATGAAATGGGGATGATAAAGCCTCTACTCTGTAGGGTTGTTATGAAAATTAAATAAGACAGAAAGGGGTTAGAACATTGCCTGGCACATAATAAGCACTTGATAAATGCAAGACATTGTTACTTGAGGTCTGTTTCTCCAATAGGCCAAGCATGTTTCCACCCCAGAGCCTTTGCACTAGCCCATTCCTTGATCTGGAATGTTATTCCCTTGACTTTCCTAAGGCCCACTTTTTTTCCTTCAGATTCCCTGACCACCCAGGCTACCATAGTCACTTAGTCACTCGCTATCACCTCATTCCATTAAAAAACTTGTGTATAACACTTATGGTTACTGGCTTTTCCTTTTTATTTATTAGTTGACTCCGCCAGTAGAATATAACCCTCGAAAGAAAAGGGATTTTTGTCTGCTCTGTTCACTCTATCTCCTTGTCTCCCTATGCGTATGGTAGGTGCTAGATACAAATTTGTTGTGTGAATGAATGATATAAGCCTCTGGCCTGGGAATGACCTGACATATGCCTCATTCCCTGACGTACTGGTCATTGTCAGCTGGGGAGGAAGATGTTTCCAACTGAGAAATCACTAAGAAGGCATTTTTTGTGTGAGTGTTTTCAAGCCCCAGAAATGTTGGAGGTCTCATAAATTGCCCCCTTCCCCTCCCAAAATGCGATCACAGCAACCACCCTCTCCCCTGACTTGACCCAGCCCAAAAGAATTCTCCCTGTCACTCCATGGGCTGATTCCAGTGCACTGGGAAAGGTCCCAAAGACACCTAGAAGTACCATAAGATTTAGTCTCCACTCTAGAAGACCCTACAAATCAGAACCAGAGTTAGGGCAAGGGAGAGATCAAGGCCAAGCTTGTGGAGGACATTCAGGGCTGTGGAAATCCCAGGAGAGTAGCAGGAGTCGCAGAGGAGAGGGCCTGGTCACCCTCAGGTCAGAATACCCTCCTCAGGCTACAGGACCGTAGGATCAGGGAGGGGAACTACCCATAAAAGACCCCCTCCAGGTCCCACTGCACCTCACCTCACATCTCTTCTCTGGCCTGCCTCTCTTGCCCCCAAGAGATGGGGCAATGGTAATCTGGGAGGCTGGCATCTGGGCCTGTGCTGGCTGGCCCTTCAGAGTGCAGAACCATCCTCCTCACCTAGGGGCCAGGACCATGCTCAGCCTTTTGTGTTTCATCAGGGCCCCACTCCCTTTGTAGACAAAGTATTTCCCAGACTTCCCCAGAAAGCATGGATTGCAAACACCTGCTCCCACCAACTGTGTGTTAGGGCACCCAGACTGGCCAGATGCAGGGCTGGCTTTTGATCTGGAAGCTCTGCTCATGAGCATGGAAGGGACCTGATGTTTCTGCCCACTGTGGGAGAAAAAATGGCTTCAGAGAATGGTAATGAAGAGAGTGACCTGGGAAGGGGATACCAGGCTGGGAGCCACAGAGATCCGGAGCAGGAGGCTGAGAAAGAAGGTAGGCTGGGTGTGAGGTAAGACCGCCCCACAAACCCATGCACCAAGATGCACAGAGGCAGGACAGTGAGATCCTCCTGGGATGAACCATCATGGTCATTTCATTGCTTGCTAATATGCTGTAGCCCCTCCTCTTCTCATCTCCGGGAGGCTGCAGTATCTCCAGCTCTAGATCCTCAAATCCATTGGGAAGAACCTCATTTTCAGTTTTTCCACAAATAGACTCGTGTTCTATTGGCTTCTACAAGGCCCTGTGCCTATTGAAGAACCAATCCCTGGGTCCAGGGTGATGGATGCTGTGGTTAGTGTGGGCGAGCCTAGATGACCTGCTCAGAACTGGGGTTGGTGCCCTCTATGCAGAGCCTCAGAGTGGGGGAGGGCTCATTTCCCAGAGGAAAATTGGGGTACAGATATCAAAATCTATATCTTAGAGTCTTAGTGTGAGATTCCACGGAGATCTTGAAAAGCCTAGAAAGGGAAACTGAGGCTCAGAGAGTTTCTGCTCTCCTGGTCTCCCAGCTTGTTGGAGGCAGCGCCTGGACTCCAGGCTGTTTCCCGCGCCTCTTGGTGCACGGGTCACCATGCTGTCCCTCACCCTGCAGTTCTCCCAGTTCCCACGCCACTTTGCCCCACCTTTCTTTGGCTTTGCTCACTTTGGATTTCTGAAGCAGAGGCCCATGGACAGCTCTCTGCAGGGCATCCCTCATTAGAGGTCACCCTTCGTCTGTGTGCGTAATCAATTGGGAGGGTAGAAATGACGCTGCTCAAGTGGGTGTTGGGGCCGCAGGTATCTCCTCCTGTGGGGTTCAGGTGAGAGCCACCACCCTTTCCCAGGGGGGCTGAGCTGTTCCCTTTCTATGAGCCACATCAGACCAAGCATCTGAGCTTGCCTGGGTGCAGGTGGCAGAGCTCCTGTGGTCCAGGGCAGCCTGGCCATCCCAAGAGCTCTATTAACACTTCCAACTTCCTCCTGAGCCAGCTGCAGGGACAGGGGACAGGTTCGAGGGCAGGAGCCGCCATTTCCACCCTCTAGTTCCTAAGCTGACTCCATGTGACCTGTGTTGGGCCGGGCTCACCTCCCTCCTGGGGTGGTCTTACTCAGCATTCTTTCTCTCATTCCCACTGACCGCCCACCGTGCCTGCCAAGCCCTATCTGCCACAGAGACTTTGCACTTCACTCAGCCTGAATGTGCTGTCCCTGGAGCACAGCTCTGCCACCTCAGAGAGAGACCCTCTGACCTCCTAGTTTAAATGGGCCGCCTCCCAGCTCGAACTCCTGACGCTTTATTTTGTCATCATGGTTGTCTCCTCAGGGCCCCACCACAACTGTAATTCCCCTTTTGTTTACCTGGCTATTGTCCACTCATTACTAAAGCCTTGTGAGCAGAAGAATGAAAGCCATCTCTGTCCTCCTCCCTCTTATGCTCCCAGCCCCTAGAATCGTGCCTGGCACATAGTAGGTGCTCAGTACGTGTTTGTTGGAGGAATGAACTGAAAAGTCTTAGAAAATAGTTATTGTTGTTCTGCTTTATGGATAAGGACATCAATGAAAATAAGAGATTTACAATGACTTCATAAGTAGGCAACAGCTACACCAGGGATGCTGCCCCAGGTCTCTGGACTAGAAATCTGTAACCCACTGTTATAGTCCATTCGTGTTACTATGAAGGAATACCTGAGGCCGGGTAATTTATTGCAAAAAGAGGTTTTCCTTGACTAAAGCAGTGACAAGAGAAAGAAAAAAAGAGGTTTATTTGGCTCACGGTTCTGCAGGCTGTACAGGCAGCATGGTGCCGGGATCTACTTCTGGTGAGGGCCTCAGGCTGCTTCCACTCACAGTGGAAGGGGAAAGGGAGCCAGTGTGTGCAGAGATCAAGGAAGCAAGAGAGAAAGGGAGAGATGCCAGGCTCTTTTTAACAATCAGCTCTCCTTTGGGGAGCTCTGGCAAGAAATATTAGGGCAAGAACTCACTGAGAACTGGCACCAATCCATTCATGAGGGATACAGCCCCATCAACCAAACACCTCCCATCAGCCACACCTCCAACGGTGGGTGTCAGATTTCAACTTGAGCTTTGGAGAGGACAGATAGCACCGACTCTGTCCAGTCTTTGTGCAGTTTCATGACCTGAGTCCAGACAGCCTGTGAGTACCTTGGTGTGGGGTCAGCAGGCCTAGCCTCACGCTCTTCAGACTCCACTCTTGACAATCAGGTGGGAGTGGGGGTACCCAGTAAAGGCAGAAAAGGGGAAATTCCATTTGGGGTTGAAGGGCATGAATGGCTAGAGACAGCCATGACTCTCTGTGGATTTGGAACCCCCAGAGACTCTGCATTGCCTTTTTTCTAGGAGGAAATAAAAGCATGTGTTGGGGGCAGAAACCTCTTTTAAGATGAAAACTACAGGCTGGGCCTTTGGCTCACGCCTG